ACTTCTCCATGGACGCTTCTCCTGGGCCTCCTTTCTCTGTAGGTTCTTGTCTTACTGCTTACCATCCCCCACCGCAACTCCCTCCCAAGTCAGTATAAAGAATAGGTCTCTACTGCTACCCACTTAGCAGGCAGAAGGGACTACAGCAGGTTTGGGTTTTAAAGAACAAGGTCACTGATTCATGTTAAGGGAAAAAGAAACAGAAATAAAGGAAACTGAAAACTCTGTGTTCAAACAAACATGGATGTAAATGACAAATGCAGTGTGGACCTCTTCGATCTCTCACACATAACACACTTCAGATGTGTGTGTGTGCATGCACACATGTATACATATGTCAATGCTCCCCAAAAAGCACCGTAAAAGACACAAGCTTGCACCCACTCCCTTCTCATCTTCCTTCATCTCTCTTCAGAGAGGGGTCGGTCAGGACCCAGGCCTCCATAGTTGGCACCAGGGCCACCAGGAAGAGCGGCAGCAGCAGCAGGCAGCGCACATAGCTACATAGCTCCCCAGGGTATCCTTGCCACGCATGTACAAAGTCGCAGCCACGGCCACCTGTGCCAGTCTCATGTGCTGCTTCACCAGCCAGGCTCGCCTGGTCCACCAGTTACTGGGCTGGAAGAACCTGTTTGTGGCAGAGCTGCCTTCCTAGAACTGGTGCTGAATGCAGACAGCAGCCTCTCTGCCCCTCCCCCCCCATGGAGAAGGACTCAGTGGGGTGCTTAGTGGCAGCTCCCCTTCCACTGTCACTTGTTCCCTTCACCCATCCCCCTTCTTGTCCCACCACACAACTGGAGAGTGAGGAGTCTTCCCCTGCAGTAGGACCAGGGACTCAGCAAGGCGCGCGGGACTCCAAAAGAGGAAGCTGCGTCTCAGCCAAGGAGCCAGCCCAGCCAAGGCATGTGAACAAGAAAACACGGCAAATGACTCCTCCCGAGGGACAGCCAGGGCCCTGGCCACCAGGAGACAGCCCCACTGGCCAACCTCTGCTGCCCACATGAGGATGGGACAACCTTCAGACCCACCCAACACCCATGAGCTGAGGAGCTGGGACCCCACTGGTGGGCTCTAGTCAATTTGCTGACAATCAAATCACTCAATGCCAGTTTGCCAAGTTCTCGAAGTTGGTGAGGACTTTTTCAAAATTTCTGGGGTTTTCCCTCCACTGGCATTTAAAAAGCATTTTTTTAATGTTTACTTATTTTTGAGAGACAGAGAGACAGAGCACACGTCGGGGAGGGGCAGAGAGAGAGGGAGACACAGAGCTGAAGCAGGCTTCCAGGCTGTCAGCACAAAGCCCAATGTGGGGCTCGAACCCATGAACGGTGAGATCATGACCTGAACCAAAATCAGACACTTAACCAACTGAGCCACCCAGGTGCCCCATCCACTGGCATTTTAAATGCAAAGGGTCAGATTTCCCTTAAACGCAACCCCCTCCTTTCCCTAGTTGTGAAAATTTGCTTGTTTTCCATCTCCAGAGGTATTCAAATACCTCCACTGGGTCAAGGACAGATATCACTCACCTCTGGGGACAGAGGTGCTGCAGGGACAGGACCGAGAGCGGTATGCAGGGTAAACTACAACTTAGAAAAATTGTAGGGATTTTTAAACAGTGGTTATCCAGGGATTGGAAATCTTTCTTTCTAACAAGTGACTTTCTCTTTCTTCCTCACACGTCTGTGTACTGCCATAATTGCTCACAATGATTTACTTCTGATGAGTGCAAGTAATTCTGGCAGCTCCTTTTTTTTTTTTAAATAAAAACATATATCAAAGGCCAGCAATTTTATAAGGGGCGGCTCCATCCTCAGTGCATAATCGCTACACCATCCTTAAGAATTCCCCCCATGTGTCATCTTCCTTTTAGTTGAATTATAACTGACACACAAAATTACATCAGCGTCAAGTGTACAATATTTTTGACATCTTTAACAAAGTATTTACAGGGGCGCCTGGGTGGCTCAGTCGGTTGACTGTCCAACTGTGGCTCAGTGCATAATCTTGCGGTTCGTGGGTTCGAGCCCCACGTCGAGCTCTGTGCTGACAGCTCGGAGCCTGGATCCTGCTTCAGATTCTGTGCCTCTCTCTCTCTCTCTCTCAAAAATAAATAAACATTAAAAACATAAAAATAAAAAACCAACAGAATATTTCCAGTAGTCCATACATACATTCTCTGTGCTTTTTTCCTTCAGATATTGTCTCTACCTAGAATATGGTGAGCAAAAATGTGTCCCTCCCAGCTCACCTAGTGAGCTCCCTGCTTGTCCCAACTTTATTACTTTATGAAACCTCCCCCTCTGTTATTCTTGTTGTATCAAAAGAGTCACACTTTCTGTTTCCCGTTATCTTTGTAAACAGAGGTGGAATGAAATAGAACAGTTGTTCTGAAACTTTTTCCAAGGCAACCAATTCTTTGGAATGCAGGCTCTCACAGAAGTGCTGGCCAAATGGAAGCAGAGTGGAGGCCTGGGCTCCCCACTCCCGGGAAGCGCCCGGGCGGCTCCGCCCTCCAGGCACCACTGTTCCCTCTGCCCAGAGGGGGACACCTTCAGGCGCTCCCTCGCAGGGTCTGAAAAGTCATCACCATCAATTATTCTAATACCCGCCCAGACACTGCCCTGAGACTTGGCCCAACCTAAATTGGTGGGTGCCGGCAGCGCCACCATGCGATGGCTCCAAGTGGCTGTCCATCACCTGACACCGAAATCTGGAAGTGCCGCATAAAAGCTGGCAAATGGTGTCACCCGGCATGCCTCTGCGGCGGCTCACAAGCAAAAGCCGCCAAGTGGAGGGCTGTACGTGGAGTTTTCTTCTCACAAAGCGGATGTGTCAGAACCACCCCCGTTTCTCCTCTGGCCAAGTGGAGCCCGTGTCCTACCTTCCAACTCGCTCTGCCTGAGAAGCGCAGAGGCTCTGTCAAAACCTCTGCGAAGTAGAAGGCCTGACTTGACCCACGGCTGGAGATGAAAGTTTAAGTCCCCCCGGCAACTGTTTTGAAACACTGAAACTGGCTACCGCCGCCCCGGGGAAAATGGGCTTCTCCTCAGGTGGTGGTGTTTTTAGAAAGGGAAAGGGCTCTCTGGGTCTTTGTGGTTCCCTAAAGGGGAACAGCTGGGGTGCCCTCTTGAGGTCTCTGCAGGTCAGGGCTTGCAGTCTGTCTGACGTGTTCCTCACACACAGCACAGGGCTGGACACCTGTGGTCACCACACCACCTTCCTGGGGCTCAGCAGGGCCTGGGGGCCAGCCAGCTTTGGTGGGAATGTGGGCTATGATGCGTGTTTCGGGGGCTGGCGTCTGAGGAGAGCCCTCCTCTGCCTGGGCCGCTAGCTGTCCGTTCATTTGCTCACTGACACCCTGACACTGCACTAACGCCCTGATGGGTCCTGTGGGTCAGGGTCCCTGGGGTAAGCCCATGGAGCCAGACAGTGGACGCTCACTGCCTCTGCCCTTCTTCTCGTCTTGTGAGCATCAGCAGCAAACCCCTGTTAAACTGAGGATCAAAATGTCCTTTTCAACCAACCCTTCTTCCCATGAAGCTCCCTCACCAGGGAGGACAATACTGTCAGCACATCCATTTCTGGGCCAAATCCTCCATCACACCACACCTGGCCCTGTACTTTGTTCTCTGCCTTTAGCCCCATGCCAATCCTGCTGTTTGGCTTCCCTGTCTGACCCTCACGATCCCCCTGCTGACAGCTAGGGCTCTGGGCCAAGTCCAGTTTTCCCCATCCCTATCATCCCTTCGTCTCCAACCAGCCTCCCCACTCCCCCTGGGCATTCGGCAGAATCTCGCCTAATGGAAACCCTTTGCCACACTTCCCAGACTTCTCCCTGCCTTTCACTTCAAACGAGCTCCAGGAATCCGACCTCAGCCAGAGTGCCTTTCCAGCTAATGTGTGCCAGGCCCAGAGCTGTGGGATTCACGTGTTCTGATCGAATCCTGTGAGGGACACACCAGTTTCGCAGAAAGGAAGCAGGGATTTGACTCCCGAAGGTTAAATAACTCAGCTAGCTAACCTGTCAGTGGGCTAAGAAAACCACTTAAGCACACACGGCATACTTCATCCTAAACAAGAAGGCTATGATTGCTCTCCCACTACCTGACTAGGTCATAAAATTCCATCCTCACTTTATCCTACATTGTTTATACAAAAGACAGATCTGCGGGCACATATAGTTGCTAGCCCTCTATCCTGACACTCATCTTTCCCTTGTGCCCCTGTGCTCTGTGGGAATGCCCAGTTGCTGATGGCAGAAATGGGGAGGATGGGGGGATAGGTCTTATCCTATTCTGCACAACACTTGGTCCCTAGATAAGCTCAGTCAAGAACGGGGCCAGGGCTGATTCCAGTCCACTCGGATCCAGATTTGCCCCAGAACTGGTCCCAAATGCAATTCTTTTCCAGAAGAGAATAACAGGGGCTTAGTTCCCTCACTTTAGAGAAAGAAGACAGAGGCTGATGGCACTTTTGTTTGTCTCTTTGGAGCCACTTCAAACATAGGGTCACCAGGGCGGCTGGGTGGCTCAGTTAGGCATCTGTCCCTTGATTTTGGCTCAGGTCATGATCTCACAGTTCGTGAGTTCGAGCCCTGGATGTAGCTCTGCACTAACACGGAACCTGCTTCAGATTCTCTCTCCCACTCCTCTGCTCTCTCTCTCTCTCTCAAAATAAAGAAACTTTAAAAAAAAAAAACATAGGGTCAGCAAAATGCCAACCATGAGTAGACCAGTGGAAACCACACTTGTGTCTAAATCCTGCTTCAGGTTGCCTGAGTTCTTGAGGCTCTGGTCCATCTCAGTGACAGTGCCAGGCCCCTCTGCAGAATTCCAGAATGCCAGCCAACAGCTACGCCTCCCCCCTCCTTCTCCAGGTCTCCTCGCATTCGCCAAGGCTCAGAAGGAAGCCCCCGGAGCCAGGGCTCCCACTCTCAGACCTTCTCCACTGGGACCCACTCAGGTCCCTGGCCACAAAGAAACAACTTTTAGCCCTGAGACTGAAAAACAAAAAGTTTTAATAAATACAAAAATCTCCAATAATGACTCTGCTCAGCTCAGGGGCAGCAGGAGTGAAGTGGAGGGACCCTTGGTGCTGAGTGAGGATAAATTAAAAATCCCAATAAGCCAGTGACATTATGTACAGAAAGAAAGGGGTTGGGCTTCTAAGGCAGAGGCTGGAGGGTGACCTGGCAGGAGACAGAGTGGCCGTGGCCTCGGTCTGCCCTGGCTGACCCTTCCCCTTATGGAATTGTGGTTCCCAGAGGTAGTGGGGGGAGGGAGAAGAGGCAGAAAAGAGGAGCCGAAGGCACTTGATTTCCCACAGGAGAACGCAGGGCCCTTGGCGCCACTCCTTCCCCCAACCCAGGCCCGTCCTCTTGGTCATGTGGCCTTCTGGCTGCCTCCTAGGAGCCTTCAGCTTCTTTCTCCAGCTCTGGAACTGTCCTGGTCTCCAGGGCTGCTGGAGACAACGGGGATACATTTTGGAGGAAGAGAGAGGAAATTGGGTGGCATGGAGGACACAGCTGAGTGTCTCTGTTCTGGGCCCAGAAAGGTCAGAACTTTTAAACAAGTCAGCACACACAAGCGGTGTGACTCAGTCACCAGAGAAGTAGACGGCGCTGCTACTGGCAGGCAGCAGGTGCCCCCTTCCCTCCCCGGGCACCCTGCATGCAGACACCTCACTTACATCGCCGGGGTGTGCAGTGGGAACAGCAGCGACTCTCCTTCCCTGGACCACAGGGCAGTGACAGTGAACAATCATCCCGTTCACAGTGGGGCACCCCTGCCTGGTGCAGAACACAGTAGGTTTTGAGGGTACCCGGAAGCACAGGGGAACAGCAGCCTTCATCCTCCTTAGGGAAGCCCACTCCCAGGAGCCTATCCTCCCTGGAAAGGTCTCCCCACTCCAGGCCAGGCCCCCCACTGCCCACCTCACACAGAGCCCACTCCCCACTTACTCCACATCTGCAGGTGATACAGCTCATCTCCCCAAAGGGAGGCACTGAGGGGTGCCAGCTCTGGCTCTCTGGGAACCACTGCCCTGCAAAACGGCAGCCCCGGGGCCCATCGGCCTGCATGGGGTCCCCCAATTGGGGGTGGGCCCCTGACCCCACTGTTGGGAGGGAGGGAGGGAGGAAGAGATCAGCAGATGTGAGCTCTTTAAGGGCCACCCAGGTTTTATTTGTCTTTGAATCGCCAACACCTAGCAGTTTCTGGCACTTAGTAGGTGACAAATTTGGATGAGAGGATGGATGGATGGATGGATGGATGGATGGATGGATGGATGGATGGGTGGGTGGGTGGGTGGGTCGGAGATAGGGAGGGAGGGAAGGGCAGGAACTGGAACCCATCATTGCCCACTAATAAACACATGCACCTTCTTTCCAATGCGTTTAGAGCCCTAGCTCCAGGCTAGGCACTGAGCAGTGCTCAGTAAACGTTGAATTAGCTAAGAAGTTCCTTCCATCCACCTTCACCCTGCATCCCCTCACCCAGGACAAGGCAGTGAAGCACCTCAACTGCCCCAAGAGGCCTCAGTGCCCACCCCCCTCACCTGGACACTGTTTGCAGCAGTCAGTGGGGTTGGCACGGACAGGCTGGGCACAGGCCAGCCGAGGACACTGCACCTTCTCACAGTGCACCTCTCCAGTGCCCCCCTGTAGGGATCCATTGAGGGAGGGGTGTCAGAAAGGAAGGGGAGCCTCCTGCTTCCTCCCGCTCCTTTTCTATCCCTCAAATGTCATATTTCCATGGCCTTTCACTCAGAGGCCCTGGGCTGGTGCTTTATCTACCTGAACTCAAATGCTCATCGTAGCCCCGCAATGTAGCTGCTATCATATCTGCTTATAGGAGCGGAAAGGGAAGCTTGAGGAGGTACAGAAAGTGCCAGAGCTATATGGAGCTAGTCAGCTGGCAGAGCCAGAATTCACACCCACGTCAGCCCTTCCCTTTTCCTGCAAGAAGCTGATTCTCAAAGCTCAAAGGACTTTTCAGTGTTGTAATCCTTGAGCCTCCCTCAAAAAGGCTGGGCTTCCCCCTCTGGCAGCCCCCTCCCCATCTCTGCAGACCCTGCTGGGTAATGGCACCAGAGAGGATTGGGCAGCCATACCTTGCAGGTGCAGACAGCACATTTAATTAAGCCAAAGGGGGGCACGACAGGATGCCACCGGGTACCCGCTGCCCGCCAGCTCCGGTCACCATCAAAATAGCAGCCTGGGGGTTGGGGGGACAGTGCCCAGCTGGCATGAGCATTGAGCTCATTGGCTGGGCCCACAATCAAGGCTGGAGTCTCAGGCCGAACCCATACTAATACCAGGGCCCATTTGTGGACCAGTGACTCTAACAAAGCCTTCGGGTATCATTTGGAACCTGTGCCCTTGAGTCTCCCCCCACTCCCCCCACATATTCTCACCCTTTTGCCCCCCTCCTGGTCCCACCCAGCAGCTCCTCTGGACTTCCCACCCCTGCACACAGACTTCCAGCTCACCCTCTCCAGGGTCTCTGGTCCGTGACAGTGCGGACAGGTCTCTGACATCTTGTTTCTCTGTGGAGCCAAAGAAATACTGAAGGCAGAGGATGATGGCCCCCTTTCCCTCCCTAGAGGCCTCATCCCCCACAGTGGACTTTCCACTACCCCCTCCACTGGAACAAGACACTCACCTGGGCACACAGGACAGCACTGATCCGGTGCCTGAACTGGGCTGGGACACTTGGGCGGCGTGCACACCACGGGGTCACAAATCACTGTGCGTCTCTGCAGAGAGGCAGGGGTGTTGGCTGGGACCCTCGCCCCAGAATCCAGACCCCAGTGCGCCCTTCCGCGGGGGCGTCCTACCTGACAGGTGCAAAGCGAGCAGAGCGGGTCGTAGTTTGGCGCCCAGCGAGCCCCGTGGGGGCGCTGCTGCCCCTCGAAATAGCACGTGTTGGGGTCTCGCGGCCGCCCGGGGCCGCCGGGTTTGGCCGGCGCGGGGGCGTCCTGGCCAAGCACGGCCGGTAGCGCGGGCAGCGCCGCTGAGTCCGGGGCCCACGCTCCTTCGGCCCCCGCGGCCGCCAGGCGCAGGCCGCCCACCTCGCATTGGTTGGCGATGTGCACCTGGGAGGAGAGGCGAGTTGAGGCTGCGCCCGGGCTCCCCCTCGCGTCTCCACCAGCCTCGGCCAGGCCAGCCCGCCTGCCCCAGACACCTCGCGCCCGGAGCACCCCTGGGTCGCAGGAGGATGCTATTAGCGCCAGCAGTCACCCCAAGGATCAGAGACACGGTGGTCTGCTGCCAGCCTCATCATGTACCTTGTCTGGTTTTATCCTCCCAATCAGCAGGGAATGCGATACTACCACCCCAGGGCTCAGAGAGAGCAAGTGACTCAGGCAAGAGCACACAGTGCTGCTCAACTCCGAACCATCCCCAACTGGCCCACATGCCTTCCTACCTGCCCCCGGAGCTCCCCGTGCGGGCTACCCTTGGTGGTGATCAGCAGGGAGGCAGTGCCCTGTGCCAGGTGCCGCAGCAGCTCAGGCTCCAGGTCCTTCACCACACCCTGGGCCTGTAAGAGCCGGGATGAGGGATGGGAAAAAGGCATTCTAGGGCTGCGCCTACCCCTCGTAAGTCACAGATGAGAAACCGAGACACAGGGAGGTTAAATAAAGTCTTCAAGGAAGTGGAGCCCATTAGTGGTGGTGCGGAGCTCAGAAAGCCAGGTCTCTCTGACTCAAAGTCCATGGCAGCCCATCCCGTTTGAAGGGTTTTGCTCCATCCCACCGCTCCTGTGGAGGTCTAGGATGTTACATACTAGCCAAGAGATCCCATCAGAGAAGGACACAGGAAGGAGAATGGATAACAGAAGGCTGAGTCAGATTCATACCCAGGTCTGTCTGACTCCCGAGCCCATGTCAGTTCTGCCATACCAGGCTTCCTGCTCTCTGCTTTCCCTGCCACAGGCCCACACAGCCCTTTGTGCTAAAAAGCAGATATTTTCAAACCTGCCTCCACCATCATGTCCTCACCTCTGGGCCATAGAATCCCTTCAGCAGCCGCCGGGGCCCTGGCATCCCAGGAGGCCCTAGGAGGTGGGCAGTGACTGTGCCCTGTTCTGAGCCACCAAGCCCAGCCAGCAGCACTTCATAGTGCAGGTGACAGTGGGTATCCAGAGAGAGCCAGGCATGTCCTGCTGCCTGGCTCTGCACAGGGGGCAACACCAGGGCTCCTGCCAGGGGCACGGGCAGTGCTGGATCCAGACAGAGGAGAGGTGACAGATGAAAAGGTGGCCTAGAGCAGCCACTCACTTCATCCCGGTATTCCCCAAGTCCCCAATCTCCCCGAACATGCATTCCACAAATTGGCAGGTGCTGTCCCTAGGCCCGGGGCTGGGCAGAGGGGGAGGCAGGCAGCAAGTTTTAGACCCCTGCACCACGGCAACAGAGAAGGTCTCCCAGCAGGGGCCACACTATGCATCCCCACCCTCCCCAGATGCCAACCTGGAGCTCAGGCACAGCGAAAGACACACCAGGCTCTGGCCCCCTGGCACTATGCTCACATGCTGGAGTCATAGATTGCAGGACACCAAAGGGCAGGCAGATCCCGGGGCACTCACTGTCATGGCGGGTGCTGTGTCCACTATAGGGCAGGGAAGCCACATGCCCCCTCAGTTCTCCATCTGGGAAGTCCTTGGTGCCCACATTAAGGAACAGCTCATTCTGCAGCAGCATATGAGCCCCTCGGGCACCCAGTCCAGGGCAGACACCCACAGCCTGGGGGACAGGGGAGGATGCTAGACTTAGATGCTCTAGCTTCAGTCTGCCAGATTCCAGATGAACCCCTCCTCAGCTGTCACATAAGTCCAAGATTCTGAATGTCTTCCATGTTTTGTTACACCCAACACACTTCTACACATGCATAACACTGGATAAGAACCTTGCAAGCCCAGGTTCAAGTCCCTTCTCTGCCACTTCCTACCTATGTAACAATCTTGAGGAGTTATTTAACCTGTCTGATCCTTCCCTTCATTATCTATAAAGTGGGAACTGTAAGGACCAAAAATAATATAAGTAAGGCAACCAGTGCAGTATGTAGCACGTATAGAGGCTCAGTGAAGGGCGCCTGGGTGGCTCAGTTATTTAAGTCTCTGACTCTTGGGTTCAGCTCAGCTCACGATCTCATGGTTTGTGAGTTTGAGCCCCACGTCCAGCCCACTATGAGCCCCATGTCAGGCCCTGCTACAAGCCCTACCTCGAGCCCCAGGTCAAACCCACATCAAGCCCTGCACTGGACTCCATGCCAACAGGATTTTGTCTCCCTCTCTCTGCCCCTCTCCTGCTCTCTCTCACTCTCAAAATAAATTAAAAAATTTTCAAAAACTTCTTTAAAAATTTAAAAATGTTAACCATAAAAAAAGAAGAAGAAGCGTTCACTAAGTGGCAGCCATTGCTACCACATTTATAATTATGTGGTCTCCCTGTCCAAATTCTCCTCTCATTTGATGTGAGCTTTCTGAGGACCGGGGCCACATCTGATTTTCTTTGTATTCCAGTCTCTAGCCTAAGGCTCACTGAAAATATTTCCAGTGAATCAATGTGCCAGTGAGAGAATCTGTTGGTGAGTGAATGATTCTGAATATCTCTGCTCATCCAGCCTGGCTTCCCCCACCCCTGCCCTGTTAACTCTGCTGCGTGGGCCCTGTGACCTGGCTCCACCTGAAGTACTTACTGTGTGTCCTCCGGACTGGACTCCAGCCATGCGGCACAGGACAGTACGCTGGTTCCTCCGCTGAGGCTTGGTCTCCAGTGTCATGGCCACCACCTCACTGCCTGTACCCACCACCTGTACCTGGTGGGCAGGGTTGGGGAGGGCAAACTGGAGCAGCAGAAAAGGCCTGGGGCCTGAACCACGCAGGCCAAAGCCCTACCACACCCTGCTGCCCTCTCCCCTCCTGCAGCCCCCTCTTACCTGGTAGATCAGAGAGCCATTTCCTAGTAGTGTCAGGCTGGCTGAGCCGGCTGCACCCGTCTGAACCGGGATCAGGGCATCGGCCCCGCAAAGGACACTTTGCAGGACTGCAGAGGGGCAAAGGGCAGTAGGTGGGCTTGTCCCACAGCCATTCATATGCCCAGCCCTCAGGGTTCCTCCCATACCCACCCTGGCCACCTGTCTTGTGCCTCTTGGTTGTGTGTTCCCTGGGGTGCCAGGCCCCACCCTGCCTCACCATCGCAGCTCTGCCTGGCAGCAATGTGTCCACTGATGCGCAGCCCTGGCCCCCCTGCCCTCTCCAGGGCCATCTTCAGCTCCCCCAGCACCAGCCAGTCCATCTCCTGGGCTGTCAGGTTGGGCAGCACCTCAGCAAAGCCCGGCTCCTGGAGAGAGGGCAAAGTATGGTGGGGGCAACAAGTGACCAGCACAGGTGGCAGCAAGAGCCAGACCCTCACTCACCTGGACTGAGGCATTGGCCTGGAGCTCTCGCAGCAGCTGCCCCTGGTGTAGAATCTGGAGCCGCAAGGGAACCTGGGCTGGCCCTGCAACAGCCATACATGTGGATGCCTCGGAGAGACAAGTGCCCTGCCTACTCTCCTCCCATGCCCTGCCCCATCCCACTTACCCCCACTTCTGGGTTCCAGTAGCCCACGGAAGAGCAGCAAAAAATGCAAGGAGTCCTCTGTGTCACTGAGAGTGAGGAGGGTGATGCCCCCTGTGCCAGGCTGTGGGGGGCCTTCCAGAGTCAGAATGGCACTGAAGGTCTCTGGGGGAGGGAAGACCATGAGAACCCATCAGAAAGTCCCCTCTTCACCCCACTCCACTCCTGGGGATAGAGAAGACTCAGAAGTTCATGTCCAGGGGCCATTCACTCCCCTCACCTGCAGCCAGGGCCCGGTGCCGGATGAGAGGCCCCCAGATCTCCCCTGAAGGATTAGTGGGTGTCACAAGTGCCACATGTAGCTGTTCTGCCCTAAGGAGCCGCAGAGACAACCGAGGCACTGCCCGCCACACCCCACAGACCTGGAGCAGAGAGACAAGAAGGCCCTACTCAGACAGTATGCAAAACAGGCCAGCTGAGAGGCCCAGCTCTGGTGAGGAAGGAAGATGAAGGAGCCCTCAAGCCCTCCTAGGAAGCTTAAGAAGGGGCTTTGGAGCCAGAGGCTGGGGTCCGAATCCTGGCTCAACCACTTACTAGCTGTGTGACCTTGAGCAAATCACATTCTGCTACTGAGCCTCAGTTCCCTCATCTGTAAAATGGGCATCATAATGTCAGTGCCTTCCTCTCACTGGGCTGTTGTGAGGACCGAAGGAGGCAATGCAGAGCACGCCCTCAGCATAGCGCCCAGACTGGATAAGCACTCATAAATGGCATCATCTCACCAGGCCATCTTGACTGGGGGCCGCAGGGTGTTCAAACAGGACGCTGCCAGTGGAGTCTGAGAAGCGGATCCGAGTAGGGCGGTCTAGCCTGGGAATGAGGGTCTGGTGAGTATGGGTTCTGAGCCTTGGCCAGGAGCAGCTCCTCCAGCCTCTCCCAACTCTCCTTCCCCAGTCCCCAGCTGGCCCCTCCTCCCACCTTCCCCTTTCTCACTGCCTGTAGGAGATGGAGAAACGCAAGCTAGAGCGCAGCAGAGACACTCGGGCCCGTGCCACGGCCTGCGACCTCGGCCCTGTCAGCAGCGCCACGAAGTCTGTGAGGAAAAGATGTCCCTAGTATCGTCACCCACTGGGGCAGCCCAGCCCCAGTCACAACCCCAAGCCCTGGCTGGCCCCTACCTACCCGTGTGGCCCTCTCCACGCGACCGATCCTCAGAACCTGGCTCCCCGCGGTCGCTGTAGCTGCGGTGCTCTGGATCCCGCGGATATTCAAAGGCCAGGCCCGTGGGCTGCCTCTCCGGAGCGCTGCGTTCTAACCCGGGAGTGGGAAACACGGGCTTCATCTGGGCACTGAGAGGGCAGTCGGGTGTTTCCTCTGCTCCATCCGCCCCATCCAACCGTGTGGCTCAGGACCAAGTATCACTGCCCTGCCGCCCTCCCCTCACCGCGGAGCCGGCCTTACCCTGGGGGCAGGTCTGGCAGCAGTGTCCCGGCAACTGACGCGGCTGCACGCAGGCCAGGGTTGGGCACTCGGGCTTGATGTTCTTGCAGCTGACCCTGCCAGGGCCCCTCGAGCGGCGACCCCACTGAGGCTGCTCGCGGAGAAGATGCGAAAACCAAGTGAGTGCAAGACGCCAATGGGGGAGACCGAGAGCTAGCAGGGGAGAGTCAATGGACCAGAGCAAGGTCACCCCATGGAGTCAGACCACTCTTTTTACAAGCTGCGTGACCCTAGACAATTTGTTTCACCTCTCTGGGCCTTAGGGTCCCTATCTGGAAATAATAATGTGTAGCTAGCATGGTTGTTCTAGGATTTAAGTGAGTAACAGACGAAACCGTTGGCAAAGCGCCTGACACGTAGTGGGTGATCAGTAACAGTCAACACCTGAGACTTGAAGGGGGCACTTCCCCAAATGTATGTGTGTGTGTGTGTGTGTGTGTGTGTGTGTGTGTGTGTGTGTGTATACACATATATCTGCAGACTCGCTTCTTTATCCTCAGCAGCTCCCAGCCCACTCCGACATCCCGGGACGCGAGCGTTCCCCACCCGCAAGGGCCCCGGCCACGGCCGTTCGGTCCACTCACCGCCTCACAGGCGCACAGCACGCAGCGCATCACCCCGAAGGGCTCCCCCAGGTCCGGGTGCCACGTCTCGTCCAAGGCATAGACCTTCCCGCCGAAGGAGCAGCCTGCGGGGACGGGCTTGGCTGGCGGCCGCTGTCCGGCTCCTGCGGGGTGCCCGCCCCGAGCGCTGCCGGCCGGGCCCTGGGTCCCCCGGCACTCTGCGCCTCGAGACCCGCGCCCACCCCTCCAGGCCGCCTGCCGCGCTGAGCCACCTGCGCTCGGCGCCCCCTCCGGGCGGGAGCGGACTTGCCCCGAGCCGGACTCTGCCTGCGCGTCCCCCTAGGCGCCCACCTACCTGCCGCTCCCCGAATGGGCAGCGGCTCCTTCTCGGACCGGATGGGCAGCGCGGGCGGCTCGGGGCCGGCGCCGTGGGCCGGCCGGCAGCCGAGCAGAAGCAGCCCGAGGAGCAGCAGCGGGGCCGGCGGGGCCGGGAGGCTCGGCATGACGCGAACGGGACAGCTGGGGAGGCGGGAGGGAGGAGGGAGCCGGGGAAGGAGGAGGGAGGTGGGAGGAGGGCCGGGCCGGGGGCGGTACGGCGGGAGGGGGCCGGGGCCAGGGCCCGGGCAGTGCGGCGAGGGGCTCGTCGGGCGGCGGGAGTCGGCGCCGGGCCGGGCCGGGCGGGGCGGGAGGAGCGGCCGGGAGGAGCGCGGGCGGGCGGGCGCTGACCCGGGCCGTACGCGGCTCTAGTGCCCTGGGCGCCGGCTCTGGCCCGTTTTATGCCCCGCGCCTGGCGCCCCGGCCGGGGGCCTCCTACTCAGCAAACGGGGCGGCGGCGGCGGCTCGGCGAGGGGCCGGGCTGAGCCCGGGGGGTCCGGCCCAGCAGCAGCGGCCCGGATCGCGAGTGGGGGAGGGGAGGGAGGGGCTGGGACGGGGCAGGGGAGGAGGGAGGGGCTGCAGGGGAAGGGGGAACGGAGGGGGGAGGGGGAGGGGAGGGACAGGGGGCGCGAAGAGGGGAGGAGAGGCGGGTCTGGAGCCCCCCGCTGCTGGCGGCCACTGGGCGGCTGCACCGGGAGGTGCGTGTCCAGCCCCGGACGGGAGCCCCAGGCCAGGGAGGGGCAGAGACTGGGCCTGAGGCCTGCGCCGGCCACTGGGCTAGTACTCGGTAACTGCCGGAAGGATGAAGACTTGTCTTTTAAGGATGACAACGTGCACCAAAGGCCCATCAACTGATCTCCCCTACTGTGGGCCCACAGCACCTCTCAGACCCCACACTACCCACACTCCCTGTCTAGCCTGTGCCCCCACTTCTTCTCTGAGGTCTCTCCTCACTCTACTGTTCCCCAGGAAGTCCCATTTCAGAGTCCCATTTCTGTCCGGTGACAGTGTTTCCCTCCCAGTAACCTGTCTGGAGGCCCGTCTAACCATCCTCATCCCCAGCCTTCTTCCTTCACCCCTTCAGCGGGGGCACCCTCTGCCTCTCCACCCCACCCCCAACCTCCTTTGTCTTGGTTTCCTGGTCATGACTGCCTCCCTGTCCCCTCCCACACCCCATTCACCCACCGTCCTCCCAACCACCCCAGCACCCTCCTTCCTAATCTTGGGAGGCATCTCATCTGGCTGAACCGGAGAATTCCGGGATCTAGGCCATACTCCTTAGCTGACAGCCCCATCCTTGGGAGGAGGAGCAGAAGGGGAAGAGCTGAGGTGGGGGGTGATGGGAACAAGGTCAGGCCAGGAGGCCCCCGGGGACGGAGACTGTGAGGAGACTGGGATTGAGGGGAAAGCAAAGGAACTAGAGCCAGGGCCAAAGGAAGAGGGGGGCCAGCAGGAGGTATTTGCGGGGGAGGTTCAGCAGCTGTCTTTCCTAAGACAGGGACACATGGGCCTGGTTATTCCTCTTGTCACATATGGAGTTGTAGGGGATGGAAGGGGGGGAGAGACAGGGCAAGTGCAGGAGAGCTTGGGCACAGAGGTGAATGGCCTTCGCTGTCTGAGCCACTGGGCCCTAAGCCCAGCCTCATACACCCCCACCCCCCACCACAAACAGCCCTCACCTCCTCACCTTGCAGTCCTCTCAAATTGTCCAAACCCTTTCCCCATAACACTGACCGATGACAGGGTCATTCTCTAAAACGGGCAATACCCACATCCCACTGGGAAAAGGGAACTAAGACACAACCCCTAGGGGGTTATAGGAGAGAAAAGCAAGAGCCCTACTGGATTTCAGCAGCAGGTGAAAAGAAATTTAGCCAGTCAGGAACTGAAAAACCCACCAGTATATCTAAAGCCAGAACCAGACCTTTGTGACTCTTCCCCAGGAACAAAAATGTCCTGCCAGATTCCTCCTAGAAAAAACACCCTGTTCCCCTCTCATCTCCTTCCCAGGTCCCAGGTTTCCCAGCTCCTAGAAAAAGATGGATCCCTCTGTTCAAATCCTCTCTGTGGTGTGCGTGGGTGGAAGAGCCGGGTCCGGCTAGTGGACCATGGTCCAGGCAGGGGCTCCATGTTCAGTGTGGGTGGGAGGAGAAGGCGTCACTTCCGGGGGCCTTCGCCAGTGTCTGGTAGCTCCCTGCTCTCTGATTGGGCAGAAGTGGCCTGGGCAGGCGTGTGACCCTACTGCTGTGGAGGGGCTGTGCCCCAACACTACATGTTCTCCTACCCATCTGCTCCCCAGAGCGCTGCCTGCTGTGCACCTGGGTCCTGGAGCCCTTCTCCACCCGGTGAGTGGCAAGCAGGGTTTGGAGTTAAGTGAGGGTAGGAAGGACAGGAGAGAGGAATTGGGCTCTCAGCTGGGGGAGGGGCAGGCAAACTGGAACCTACAGGCACTGACCTTTGTCGAGAAGAGTGTAGCCTTCCCAGAATGGGAGGAGCAGGACAGAGCAGGGGTAGGGGGTGGGGAGCTGGGTTCTGAGGGACTGATCACAAACTTGGAGAAATATAGCACTGTCCTGGTGGGCCCTAAGGAAAGGGGACACGTGCCCTGGGAGAAAATAAGAAAGGTGGCACATTTAGGGCTTAGGGCACATCGCATCAAGCTGGACACAGGCCCAGTCCCCATTCTTACCCAGCCATTCCCAGTTAGCTCTAAGTTCCGAATCGTGGGACTGGGGAAGCTGGGCCGAAGAAGAGGGTAATGGGAGGAGGGCTCACGCATGTTGACAGACCTACAGGAAATCCCAATATTGAATCAGGTGCAGGCCTCTTTGCACAACTCGTCAAAGAAGGAGGAGGCCATGTGGGGGGTCCTGCAGAGGAACTGGAAGGGCTCTGCAAAGGGGGCAGGGAGGACGATATGGGCTATGAGATGGATACGGTGGGTGTCCAAGGCAAGGTAAGCCACGTAAGGTCGGTACCTCACTCAGTAGGTGCCCATCCCTCGGCAACTTGCCTCAGGTGTCAAGTCCCAAGACTGTTAGCCCATCTCTTCACCTTGGATAACCCAGTATTTCAGAACTGGGAATGTAAAGAAAAACTCCAAGAGGTTTTTGGGTGGAGGTAAATGGAAAGAGAATGAGAGGTTCATTGCTCCCATACCACCTTCTCATAATCTTGTAATCCCCTATGCCTAGTAGTCCAGTTTGGTTTTCACTTAACTCCCCTCCTCAGCCCCACTCCCCAAGCTACCCCTCAACACACTGCACTGTTTGCTAGCTCCTCACCTTGACCCTGTATCCTGCTTTCCAATCTCTTCTCCAGGGCTTATGCCACAATACTTCTATTCCCCCTCCCTGTCCTAGATTTTTCTCCAACCAAACAATCAAGGTTGCTCAGAATTTGAAGCCAGTTAAGATGTAAGGGGTGTGTGTGTGTGTGTGTGTGTGTGTGTGTGTGTGTGTGTACAGATTCTGTCCTGCTCTCAGCAGGGGGCAGGGGCACCAGCCCCACAGCAGAGTCACTGAGGAACCCTGACACAAAGGAGGAGCCCTATGTTGTACTCACAAGGAAACCTGGGAGCAGTCAGAACTCTAACAGTTCTAGGCTGGTTGGCATCTCACGCCCTCCCAGCAGCTGCTCCCCCACCAGCCAGGAAGTCTTTTCCTTGACACCTGATTAAATGTTCATTATTTCTGTCACTTGCAGGATAGATTCCAGACCCTCCTCCTCAGCCCACCTGTGCCCCACAGTGCAAGAAGTGCAAGAGCCCAAGCCGCCTCCATGGCCCCAGGAAGGATTCAGGGGAGAGGCCCCAACCAGGGAGCCACTCCAACCAGACAGCGTGGCCAGAATGGAGCCGACTGGTAAGAACACAGCTGAGGGGCCTAGGGCCAAATCAACATGGTTAGAGAGGAAAGAGAAAGGAGATGTGCTGCAGGGGTGGAGGGCTGAGGGAACCCAATCTCCCAGCAATAAGGCTTCTGAAAGGCAAATTCCCTGGATTTCAGGTCTGGGTCTTAAAGGGGAATTCCTGGACCACCACCTAACAATGATTTCTTCTTTTTCAACCTCGCTTCTCCTCATCTAAGAGCTGCACCTCGTGGTCATGTTTCTCCTAACTGCAAGACTGGATCTGTGCCTCCCAGCTCCTCCAGCCTGTGACCCCCGTCTCCTAAATAAACTGCTTCGTGACTCCCATGTCCTTCACAGCAGATTGGTGAGAATCTCCCAGCACTCACTCCTCTACCCATTAACTGCTTACACACCCTTACTCCCGTCACTGCCTCTCACTCCATGATCCAATCATTGTTCTTCCCATATTATCTTTGGTAAGACCACCACCTCCCAATCACCACTCCTTGACAAGGATTATGATTTGCAATCTAGCCCATTTTAAAAGCTCTAGTCTGGATATATATCGCTCATGGAAGCCTCTCTTGGTCATCAGGTCACCATACCCCAACCCCCACTTTATTTGAGCTCCCTTTTCCACCTTGCCGCCACCACCACCGATCTTTTTCTTTTTTTTTTTTTAATGTTTTATTTATTTCTGAGAAAGAGAGAGAGAGCGAGAGACAGCATGAGCAGGGAGGGTCAGAGAGAGAGGGAGACACAGAATCCGAAGCAGGCTCCAGGCTCTGAGCTAGCTGTCAGCACAGAGCCCGACGCGGAGCTCAAAGCCACAAACCGAACCCACAAACCGTGAGATCATGACCTGAGCTGAAGTCAGAATCTTAACCGACTGAGCCACCCAGGCGCCCCACCACCAATCTTTTTCAACAGAGCCAGTGCCCAGACGTTAACCCTTTGTCTACACCTGTCCTGCTGCCTGCTGTGGACTTTACCCTGGGAGAATGGAAAACCCAGAAGGTAAGAAAGTCCTTCTTTCCTTTGGTTTCCCTAAATTCTGTCTTCATCAGTTTTGTACTGCTTCCCATGGATTCTTCAAAACTCTTGAGCTCCCTAAAAATATCTCACCTTCATCTTGGCCACCCTAACCTAATCTACTTTCTACTATGATGGTATCCTCTGGACAGGACGATTTACAGTCCCAGTATGTTAAAATAGATTCAAAGCTGAACACCAAGTAAAACTGGATGGAAGTCGCTTATGGCCATGCCTTGACCTATTCCCATGAAACCTTCTTAAGTTGGCATGAAGAAGTAAGTCTGATCTGTCATCCTCAGATGACAAAAAAATAGGAAGCTCAGCTAAAATAACAAAAGACAGAATCAAGATTCAACTTGTTGAAAGACTAGGTCAAAAACAAGGTAAAATTTAACAGATATATATATAAAACTGTACATCTACTCAAAGTGAGTAAAGTCCTATTCCAACTTCCAGGCCACAATGCCCCCACTTCGTTTATATAAACTTCTAGCCCTAAAACTTACTATGAAAAAGATCTGGGAGGATGGAGTTGACCTCAAACTCAGCATGTAACAGCTATTTTAAAAGCTAGTGATTCTAGGTGGCTTTAGATGTCTAGCATCCACATTGTGGAAATATTCCTAAAAAACAATAAGTGGATTGCACTTAACAGTACTGGACTGGGTACCTCCTCAAGACACATGCTAATTTATTCAGAGGGACCAGAGGGACCATACTAAACTAGCATGTGTCCAGAAGGAAGAAGCAACCTGAATAGTAAGAGGTTAGAAAACAGGCTATGTGAGGAATGGCTTAAAAAACGGGGGGGTGGGGGTTGGGGAGCAGTCTGATTAGTGTGGAGGAGGGAAATGGTGGTAGTCTTGTGGTATCTCTGGAAGTGCTTTAGTCTGAGGCTCCGGAAACCTCCTGGGAGGGAGCACGCCTTGCAAAATCAGCTCTTCTATCCTCAAGATCCCTAGAATCCCCTTTCTTTCCTCAGGTCTTCTAGGGGGACTGGGCCAGGAACGAAGGGCCATTCCTTCGGTGGCTTAGTCGGTTAAGCGTCCGACTTTCGCTTAGGTCATGATCTCGCGGTTCGTGGGTTCGAGCCCTGCGTTGGGCTCTGTGCTGACTGCCAACTCAGAGCCTGGAGCCTGTTTCAGTCTGTGACTCCCTCTCTCTCTGACCCTCCCCTGCTCATTCTGTCTGTCTCTCTCTCTCTCCTAGAAATAAATAAAACATTTAAAAAAATCATATAACCCTAAGATTTTGTAGCAGAAAGAGTGGACTGGCACCACTAGAACCCAGAGGTAAAAGCTGTAATAGCGCAGATTTCAGCATAATGTAAGGGGAGGGGGAAGAACTTTTCTGACTGAAATTAAGTGTAAGGCCAGGCTGGACAATAACTCTGGACACTGGAGCTATTCAAGTAGAGGCTGATGACCAATTGTCGGGAGACTCTGAAGGAATTCCTGTGCTGGGTGGGACCTTGGTCCTGTCCAGTTCTCAGCTCCTATGATTCATTCCCCTGGCTACTCCTTCGGGCTCCCCACCCATTATTAGCATGCCCTTTGAAGCAGGCCGCTTCTCCCTTCCATCTCTTTTGCAGGAGCAGACCAAGACACAGGACGTTCTGGGAGCCACGACCCTTCTGCTGGAGGCAGTAATGGCAGCCCGGGGACAACTGGGACCCACCTGCCTCTCATCCCTCCTAGGACAGCTTTCTGGACAGGTCCGCCTCCTCCTCGGGGCCCTGCAGGGCCTCCTAGGAACCCAGGTAAGTAACTCCTGAGCCAAGGGGACTACAGACACTGTCCTTTTCTGAACTAGCCCCCTTGGAAGACCTGAGGGAAGAAAGGAGAATTCTGGGAATCATGAGACCTATTAAGGAGCGCTTTCTCCGAGCCATAAAGTCTGGGTGCTGGTACCTTATCTTTCCCTGTAGACAAGAGAGATATGATACCTGGCCCAGGCCTCTGGCCTCAGGCCCATCCTCTGCCCTCAGCTTCCTCCACAGGGCAGGACCACAGCTCACAAGGACCCCAATGCCATATTCCTGACCTTCCAACAACTGCTCCGAGGAAAGGTGCGCTTCCTGCTGATTGTAGTAGGGCCCACTCTCTGTGCCAAGCAGGCCCTGCCCACTACAGCTGGCCCAAGAAATACCTCTCTCTTCCTCACACTGCACAAGCTCCCAAACAGGACTTCTGGATTTTTGGAGACAAACTCCAGTTTCTCAGCCAGAACTACTGGCCTTGGACTTCTGAAGTGGCTGCAGGGATTCAGAGCCAAGATTCCTGGTCGGCTGAACCAAACCTCCAGGTCCCTAGACCAAATCCCTGGACACCTGAACAGGACACATGCACCTGTGATTGGAACTCTTGGACTCTTTCCTGGACCCTCACCCAGGGCCCTAGGAGCCCCAGACATCCCTTCAGGGACTTCAGACATGGGCTCCATGCCACCTGACCTCTGGCCTGGATATTCTCCTTCCCCAACCCATCCTCCTACTGGGCAATACACACTCTTCTCTCCTTCACTTCCCTCCCCCACTCCCCCCGTCCGGCTCCAGCCTCTACTTCCTGACCCCTCTGTCACACCCAACTCTACCAGTCCTCTCCTAACTGCATCCCACCGTCACTTCCAGAATCTGACTCAGGAGGAGTAAGGTACTGGCACTGTCTCCCATGTAAAGTTCCCTTACCCAGAGGGGAGGCCCTGGGAGTCAAGTTATACCAGATTTCCTGCTTGCACCTGAAACCCAAAGCCCTGCTAAAGGGGGATACGCAGGACACAAAAGGGGATCATTTTTCACTGTATAATGTAAAACTTCAGAAGCTATTTTTTTAAGCTATCAATAACATTCACTAGAGCATCTAGTTATCTTTGGTCTATTTTCTGCACAAATTTACAGCTTACTAATTCTCTACATACTCTTTTTCATATGGTAATTATGCAAAGGGCTGGTCTGGCCTGGCTTCTGAACAGAGGTAGAGACTAACCTTATGTCAGAAAACAGAGAAAAAAAGAGCTTTGTTTTTTTTTAAATTCAGAACTAAGGTTAGTAGTGTCTTTATCCCCTTTACTATCATTCTCAATGGGGCTCTGATCTCCTTTTCTTCGGAGATCCTTACTCTTGAAAAATGAATGAGAAGCTGTCTCTCAGAAAGACCATCTCTACATAATCAACAAAACTGAGCCTATATAAATAAAAGATAAATAAGGACACCCAAAAGCTAACAGAAAAGCAAAGGAAAGAGATGTTCTTCTCAGGGGGTAATAGCTGTCCCCCTTCCCTCCCCTCCCAAAAAGTTAACAGGAAGCCTTGGAGAGCCTCACACCCCAGGTAAGGCTGTGCAGACAGTTGAGTCAAGACAAAACCTGGATGTGACAGCTGAGCAAACAGGGAGAGCTTCAGCAGCTCAGCAGGAAGCTTCGTCAGGCACGGGTTCCTGCCTCCCTCCTGTGGAGGTCAGGGGGAAGTGCAGGAAGTGGCAAGAGTCAGTCTCCTAGGGCTCACACAGCGGGAGGGACAAGTACAAGTTGAAGGCTCATTTCCCAATCCCAGAAGCACATGGTATCTAATAAGCTGCCCTATGTGACCACCATGAACTCTGCCAAGGATTCTCTAGAGAAGCCAGGCTTATGGGGCCTTGCAAATAAATGCCGCTGTGGCGCCTCTGAAAAGGTTTATTATTGCCCAAAACAAAAACTCCATTGCAAAGGTCAACATTACCTCCAGAGGCTCCTGTAGGAAAACTAACAGCAGCTTTTTCCTCTTCCCTCCCCCCAACTCCCCAATGGAGAGGAAAGACTACCATGTAGGTAAAAGAGCCAGGAACGCAGAGTTCCAAACACTGCCACAGACACCCCAGGATCACTAAAGGTATTCCAAAATAGAAGAAACGAAAGCCAGCGTGCCAGGAACCTTACATATGTTAGCTTTTATACAGCTCGCACAACTCTATCACCTTGGAATTATCACCTCTAGTTTGCAGATGATGACACTGAGGCTCAGAGAAGCCAGGCATTTTCTCAATACTTACACAGCCTGTGAGCAAGAAAAGAAACCTTAGGCTGACTAGAGCCCATACAGCCCCCAGTGTGGTGTACTGCCCAACAGATCATTCCGTGATTCTATTTATCAGGAAAGATTTCCAAGTCTTGAGAGAGTACACAGACCAACAATTAAAAGAGTTCTGAGTAGAAAACCAAAAGCTCTCGGAGGGGTGACGAACTTAGACACCTCCAGGTGTCCTTCTCTCCCATCATGGATAGGACAGTTGCCACAGTTGCCATGGAGAAGGAATCAACAAATGCACAAAGCTCAAAAGAGTCCACATCTCGGATGATGTCAGTTTTTGCACGGGAGAGAATAGTTCATCCACACTACCAATTCCAGCATGCAGTCAAGGGAACGGTTAAGTGGAAACTGTAATTTACTGAAATACTAACCTAGATTAAATATAATGATTGAAATGAAGAACTTTCTGGCACATGAAAGAGTCAGCACCTGGGACAAGATATGCCGAAAGGACCAAAGGCGAAGGCTTAATAAGGGTTCTCAGAGAAGCACAGTCGCATGAGAGACAAGGATGGCAAAACTGCAAAAGTATATAGCCAGGAAGTTCCAGGCATCCAGTATCGGCATTGGACTTAATTTAGGGCAAATGTAAATAACTTGTGGGCTTCTCCAATGTGAACTAATCTGTCCCTATTGAGAAACTACCCTTCCCAAAATACTGTCAGACTGATTATATCCCTTCTTCCCTTTACACAAAAGCAAAACACTGTGACAACCAGAATACTCTTTCTATTCAACTGCATGCCACTTCTCTCTTCTGCTACCCCGGGATGGCCAGGATAGTCTGCTATGCTACCCCACAAACCATTATTGGTAATGAAGTTTTCCCACTCTAACCTAAATCCAGCCTTCTCCAACACCTAAAATCGGACTCCATGTAAAAGTTCTAGGAGTCCATAAAAATTCATTCAACCCCCACTGCACCTTTTACCGCCCCCCCCCCCCCCCCCCCCCCCCGCACACCCATAGTAAAGCAAAACACCTTTTCCTCCCCCCTGCAGAGGCCATCCATTTTCAACCCATTTCCCTAAATACTGTTTCTAACACCTCATGTAAAGATCTGAAAATGATAGGGAAGGAAATACCCCAGGCATCCCAGCAGGGGGACCAGCTCCCAAGGCAAAACCAGGAGATCAAAAGAGAAAAGTGCTTAATACACACTCACTATCTTTCTGGGTTATTACCCTGAATTTCCCAGGGGAAATAAGAGTCCAGTACACTTTCTCAGAGACCTCAAATGCCACGCTGAAAAGCCAGCTCATACGCTGGAGAGCTTCTACAAGCATCACCACTTCCTCAATTTTGTTTTCGCCCAGTTTAAGTTAGTGACTGCCATCGGTCTGCTCCATTGTCTTGGGACTGGTGCTGGGCTGCCAGCCTCATTGGTATTGCCGCCTTGTCCACCTCACTGGTCTGTGCAGCAGCTGCCTGTTCGGCGTCACTGGTGAGAACCCCCACCACTCACCCTCCCTCCAGGCCACCAATGCAATGTAGAGCAGGCACCTAGCTCCCCCACCTGTTCCTATAACCACCAGATCTGTTCTTCCTATTCTCTTCCTAGGCATGTCCCATGCCTGTATCTAAAAGCTTCCACCCAAAGCTTCCACAAAAATGATGAACATTTCCAGGATACGCAAGTGACTCATTTAAATCAACGTGATCTGACTTCCTAAGAGACTCAAAGTGTTGGAAGGACACAAGCAAGGCTCCTTGCCAATTCAAAACTCTATGCCAAATGGGTGGTATCTTCCGGGGTTGGGGTGCCCTCAGGAGCCAAAAGCACAACACTCTCCCAAACAGAAAATCACTTTGGAGGATAAATGGGGTAGTTAGCCAGGGGGCTGAGATAACCCTAAACCCAGACACCAAAAGGCTGGGAGAGAGCCTAAAGTGACACGTGATCATCTGGCTGTGGGCCAGAAATATAATATACCATAGGCAAAGTGGAAAAAATGACTTTAGGGTAAATGGAAAAGATTTTTTTTTAAGGGCGCAGCGGAAAACGAGTCTGAAAAAGTAAAGTTTAATTTAAAAATCATACACACACAAAACAACTTCTGATCCATTTTAAGCTCTCCCAATGGGTCTTTCACAGGCAAGTTTCCCATGGAGTCCAGACCACCTAAAGATGCACCCACAGGGGGCAGACAGACAGCCCTTCCTGAACAGGTGGTCAACAATAACTGCTCCTCGGGCTTGAATGAATGAATGTCCCAGCCCTAAGTGACTAAGCAGCAAGGTTGGCTTCCTGGGTGCTTCAGAAGGCCAGTTTCTTCATCAGCAGATAAACTCTGGAATCCACTTCAAATCCATGCAGGTTGTTGGCATCACCCTGCAGCCTCATGAGCAGGCCCCCATAGGACACGTAGGCAGAGCTGAAACGGAAGGCCCCCGTCCCATGAGTCTAAGCTCTGGAGCAGTCACCCCGTGGCTCTCCATCCCAGCTTAAGAAAGAGAGGTACCCTTCTAGTGTTTTGTCATTAGGAACCAAAATTCAGACAAAAATGAATGCACAGATATGTGCACGGCATTATTCCTGATATCAACAAAGGTGGAAAATGCTACATGCCCAGAGTAATGGAAATGATCAAATGAATTAAGATATATCCATTTACTGGAATGTTATGCTTATTAAAATGTTTAGGAAAAGCCTTAAACTGACATGGGGAAACCTGCTTTACATAACTTAAAGCAAAAAGAGAACAAGAAGGGGCGCCTGAATGGCTCAGTTGGTTAAGCATCCAACTCTTGGGTCTCGGCTCAGGTTATGATCTCATGGTTCATGAGCTGGAGATGCACTCTGGGCTCTGCGCTGACGGCACGGAGCCTGCTTGGGATTCTGTTTCTCCCTCTCTCTCTCTGCTCCTTCCCCACTTGCACTCTCTCTCAAAACTAAATAAACAAGACTTAAAAAAAAAAAAAAGAGCAGAAGAAAACATTGTAATAAACAACATGATCTCAAAGAAAAAAGTACACAGGAAAAAACCTAGAATACTCAAAAATGTTTGTGTAAAAGGTTTCCTTTGAGTATAGAATTATAGGTGACTTTTTTTTTTTTTTTTTTGCTTCTTCACATTACTTCTCTGCTTTTCAAATTGCTTACAAAGAGCACATATTGTTTTAATAAGATTTTAAAGAACAGAAAAAATAGTTGGGCAGGGAAACCAAAGAACTAGGGATTGGATTGCAGACTAGCAAAACACACACACAAATAAACAAAAACAAAAAAAGCCTAGCAGTTTAATCACTTAATGCTGCATTTGGTTCCTGGGGAAGCAACCTTCCTTTGCACTTCACATAGCAAGATCATCGGTTTCTCATTTGGACCCCTGGGCCCTGAGGTCCTGACAATGGGCCAAGTGAGCAATCTACATTTCAGACTGGAAACTGTCCCCAGAACAGTCTCCTTCTGGGTTTCGCCTAGGTCTGAGGTGCTTGGGGAGAGAGACCCAACATAGGAAACATGAGAACGGACCAAGGTAGGGGTACAAGGGTTCTCACAAGACCATGGAACTTACAGACGTGTTGCGGCTTCAGTAGAAGTTTCGTCTCCCTCAATCCTGTATACTTTCCCATACATTACATACTCAAATTGGTCAGCCCTGTGGAACAATAGTGCCAAGGTTATTCGTAAAAGTAGTTAACAATAATAAGAGGCCCTTTAAAAATGGTAACTGGTAACTAAATGTCAACATTATAACAATGGGCGTTTTCCAGATACAATGCCATTTAGTCCTCACAGCAACCCAAAGAGCAAAGCAGGACCATCCGTACTTTACTGATGAGAAAACTGAGGCTGAAAGAGGTTAGGTTATTCAACAAATAAGCGGTAAGGCTGAGATTTGAACTCAGTGGAACTCCCAAAACTTTTCTATCACACCAAACTCCCTCCCAAAATACAAGGCCCACACCCAGCTTAGGTCACTCGGTGGTCTAAGTGATTGATTCCCTTAGCCATCAATAAGCTACAACCCACAAGCATATAAACACTGCTCTGCATAAACACCTGGTTGTTTGAATTCTTAAGCACAGCAATTTCCTTAAGGTTACTAAGATTCTGCTGATAATCATTTATTCCACAAATCAAATATTCCATACTACTTATCTACTTAGTCCTCAGGTATATTTCAAGTACTCCCTTCTTCACTTCCTCACCTGGAAGGCCTATCATCTGTAGGATTGTATTCACCGTCATCCAGGGTACCATCTTCATATAAGGTACTGGCTATGACCAACCGGAATTTGTCTCCTGAAAATAATGGCAATATCTGAGAGTGAAGAACAGCTGAAATGTCAAAACGGTTCCGGCTATTGTCTGTGTTCAATACTTACCCAAGTCTACAGGGTAAATCTGAATGTTTACATCTAAGATTAGGTCCATCTTGAAAGATTCACTCTCACAATGTAGTCGAGACACTGGAGGGAAGCAGAGAAAGAGTGGCATTGGTAATTGCCAGGTCCTGGCAGACTCTACAGACCCCACTTTGGGGGATCATATGTAATTAACACTCGGTCTAACCCAGTTTGCATCCACTAGCCTCTCATATGCTCTCAGAGAAGTGCAGACTGCATCAGAACCTGATATGCCAGAAGAAAAGGGAAGAAAACTATGGCAAATGGGACAGAATCCCAGGGAAAAAAAAAAAAATCAAAGGTCCCCTGGCAATAAACAATATCCAGGCTCTAGGCCTGCCTAGGTGATTAAGAAACAACCTGACTTTGGGCAAGTTATTCATTCATCCAAAGGCTTTGTCTTTCTGTGCCAGGTGCTGTGCTGAGTGGATTATGGGGACTGTATGAACCGGTGTTTGTCTTGAAGAACATCCCAGTCTCCAGGCAAAGGAAGAGACATCAAGGAGGAGCAATTCAATAATTGCTGATTAATAACAGAATAAAGAGGTGTATAGCAAGCAGTCAATTCTAACTAAAGAAGAACGTCACAAAAAAAAGCCTAAAGATTCTTAGGACAGTACAAGAATACAAGCTCTGAAGTCCCATTGCTCACAGTGTAGACTTGGGTAGGTTACTTAACTTCTCGGAGACACCACCTACCTCATGGAGGCTCTTGAAAGGAATAGGTAGGACAAAATGAGTGTAAGGTGCACGATACAGCGCCCAGCTCAGAGTGAGGAGCGATTAGAAAGATGCCCAGGAGTTTATCAACACCATGAGAAAAGGCCAGCCAGGCACAGGGCACAGTCTACGTCAAGCCAGGCAGAGTTCGGAGTCTCCGTTTTCCCAACTATAAAATGTTTCCAGGGGCGCCTGGGTGGCTTAGTCGGTTAAGCGTCCGACTTTCGCTTAGGTCATGATCTCGCGGTTCGTGGGTTCGAGCCCCGCGTCGGGCTCTGTGCTGACTGCCAGCTCAGAGCCTGGAGCCTGTTTCAGTCTGTGACTCCCTCTCTCTCTGACCCTCCCCTGCTCACGCTGTCTCTCTCTCTCTCTCCTAGAAATAAATAAAACATTAAAAAAAAAAATGTTTCCTGAGGGAGAGTCCTCGATCAGGAACTGCCGGTAGGGGAAGGCCACGTGGGTTGAGTGAACAAGGGGCCCAGGGGCGTGTCCCCGAGGAGGTTAGCCCCTTCTCCTAAACCGCCCCTACGTACACCTCACTTACCTCGGTCAAACTTCTTGCCCTCCGGGTCAATGTCTTTCACATCAAAAATATCCTCAAACAGAATGCCCGCCATGGTGGAATAGCCGCGAGAGTAGCGGAGTGGCTGAGACCGCTACCACGACTAAGGTGTACGCGCTTTCCCTCGCGTGGAGTAAGAGAGAGGGAAAGAGAGCACCTACAGAGTGGCAGCAAGGGACTAGAATAACGCATGCGTGCGGACAAGCGGTAACGCCGACACTTCCGCCGCCCGGCTCTCGGGGCTTCCTAACTTCCGCCCCGAACGATTGCTTCCGAGAGTCCTCAGGCTTTAGGGCGGGTCTCAGGGCCATATAACTCCGCCCTAGGGCGGGGACACGATTAGTCCCACCTCCGGCCGTGGCGGCGCGGTTTCTCGCTCCCTGAAGAGGCTCTACTGCGCCCTCTTGAGAGTCCGGGTTGGGAACACTAGAATGCATGGGAGCCTACCCCAGCCAGGGACCTTGATCCTTGGCCCAGAGAACCCTGACCCTAGCCCTCCCGTGCTGGTCCGCGTGCCCGCCGACGGCACAGTCCGCGCGGAGAGCAGGCGGAACAGAACGCCGCCCCCAGCGCGCTGACCCTGCACTGCGCAGAGCCCAGTCCCTCCAGCTGGCACCGAGGCCCACCAGCCTGGCCCGGACTGACTTGGCCCTGCTGGATGTCACCCGAGCCGGGTTCGTCCAGTTTGGGAATTTGCCATGATGTCACTATAGGGAAGAGGAAAGCCTGCACTTGTCTCCTCCCCGGGTACCCTCCCTCCCACTGCCCTCTTCCCCTGGGCCCTAATCTTTTCCACACGACCTCTTCAGCCTGGCATTAACCCCATCACACTGCTCTCCTTCTGAGCACGGCCCCTTCCGCCTGGTACTGCCTGTTGCCCCACCACTGCCTTCACCCTCCAGACGCTGATCTATGTGCGCCTTCATCCTGACGCTGTCCTCTCCCACGAATACCACCTCCTCCCTTATACTGTCCTTTCCTCTCACATCGCCCCCTTCCTGGGCACTGCCCTGCCTCCTGGGCACTGCTTCTGCCTCCCACACGCCCCTTCATCCTGATCCTGCCTCCTCCCTCACACTGCCTGTTTCCTGGGCCCGGGCCTCTCCCCTGACACTATCTTACACTGTTGGTCTACTCTGTGCTCACCCCACCCTCTGCTCTATCCTTCTTCAGACCCTAATACAGAACGCAGAGCCCCAGCAGGCTGTTCCCCCAGAGTGACGAGATGTCAATAGCTACTCGAGTTTCTCCTTGGGCCCTGCCAAGAAAAAGCGACCTCTGTACCCCCACACCCTCTTCCCAGGAGCGGCCTCCCCGCACCTAGACATCTCTTCCCTCCGGCTTCGGCCCTTCACTTTCCCTCCCCACCCCCACCCTGGTGCACCCCACAGGCCAGGTTGCTCCAGGTGCGACTTCCTAGGGGACCAGCGGGGAAGGGACAGAGGAGGAAGGGGATGAGAGAGATCGAGGGTCTCAGTTCCGAGCATCACCTCCTCACTCCCGCCTTCTGGGCCTAGCGTCTCCCATCGAGTCCCCACCCCCCGGCCCCCCAGCTTTGCTTTCACCCTCGACGGAGCAGAGGGACCTTGCCAGGCCCGTCTGCCCTCTCCGGAGAAGCAAGAGAGGGCGCCCCTCCTAAGAGATTGAGCCCAAAGAATCTGAGTAACCGGCTCTGCAGACCCCGGCACCCGGACCTACTGAGCCCCAACGTCTCCAACTGCTCCTGCCCCCGGCACTGGGCGCCGCGGACCCGGCCCTGCCCTTCCACGTGCCGACGGACCCGCCCCCGCTCCGGCCCCAGTTGCCCCTCTCAGTTCCTGGCCTTTGCGCAGAGGGGGCGCAGGCTAGCAAGTTCCAAGCGCCCCCTGCCGCCTCCTGGGAGCCTCGGAGGCGGCCCCAACGCAGACCCCCGCCCGGAGGGGCCGGCCCCCGCGGAGGGGCCGGCGGGCGGAGCAGCACAGCGGGCACCGCCCCCGGCCCGCCCGCGGAGGAGGGGACGCGAGCTGGAGGCTGAGCCAGCAGCGGCCGCCCAGGGCCCGCCGCACTCTGCACTCGGCCGCCCGGGCGGCGGGGACGGGACGGGTGCCGGCGCGGGCTCTGCCGGCCGGGAGCCGAGTCCGGGCCCGAGCCCGAGCCGCACCGGGAAGCCAGAGGACCGTGAGCGGAGATGGCGGCCGCGTCGGCGGCGGCAGTGGCGGAAGGGATGGAGCCGCGGGCGCTGCAGTATGAGCAGACCCTGGTAAGAGAAGCCGAGCCGAACCCTCCGGAATGCACCCCGGCACAGCTGTTGTGGGCTCCCCTTGGAAGCTCGAGGCCCGGGGGCGTACCCTAAGCCCGCTCCAGAAGTAAGCTGGGGAAACTGAGGCTCGAGGGCCCCGAGAGGCTGGAGAGCTAAGGGGTGGAAAGCTGCATGCAGCTGAGGCGGGGTGGGGGCGAGGAGGCTGTGTAAGACAAGGACATCAGGTGCTTGTCCCAGGTGTCCTCTTTACCATCCCCACATGCGGGCGCTTTCTTTGCTCCTCCCCCTCACCACCAGGGCTGAGGTCTCAGCACCCCACTAGCCCTCCCCAGCACCCCTCACACCCTTGAACTCTTACTCTCTACCCTCCTATCTCCACCATCCAAGACATTCCCTCTATCCCCACTAAGTGTGTGGCACTGTACTGGACTTAGAAACAAGAGCGCGTGGATAGATCAGACCCAAACCCAACCCCCAGCCCTTACCCCCGGTGGGGGGGGGGGGCTAGCAACCCAGCATTGATTGGCAGGAAGCGATTCTCTGGGGGGAAAAGAGCTTTTCCTGTACACTGCCCCTCACTCTTGGTACAGAAGCTTTAGGAAGGATGGGTCAACCAAGAATGGGTGTGGGAATTGGGACCTTTGTCCATGCTGCCTGGGTATCCAGCCCCCACCCACTTCAGGGGTGTCCCTTGACCTCATTAGAAGCAGGGGTCCTGGAGCCGTGAGCTGACTCATGACTCCCATTGTAACTTAGTGTTTGAGAAGCCTTTTACCCCTTCTTGTGTCACTGGGTGGAGGACCCAAACTCTAGGGAAGGGAGTGGACCCTGTGCTCCTTTTTACTAGCTTAGACTGGAATTAGCTCAGGAAGGAGGCTGGGAGGGAACCTCTCCAGGAGGAGGGGTCCTGGGCTGTAGCTGGGGCTGGGAGGTGCCCCGTTATAAGAGAGAGACTGGATGAAACAGGATGACAGGGAGAGGTGGCAGGGAGGGGGCGGAGCCAAGGGAGAGGTTGCAAGCCTTCGCAGAGTGGGGGAGGTGTCTGTCAATCTGTCCTGGCTGAGAATGGGGCTTTGGTCAAAGAAGCCAGGCACCTGACCTCTGAAATGGTGTCTATCTGTTACACCAGGCACATCTCCACCTCCTTCGCCTGGTCTCTATCTCTGGGCCGAATCCTCAGGGTCATGCTGCCTCTCAACACTCTCTGCTCCAGCCTCTCCCCCTTCTCCTTCTAATCCCTTTGTCTTTCTCTCACACACTCACCTCCCCCTCCTACACTGTGTCCGCCTCTTTGTGCTTTACTTTCTCTCTTTTCCTCCTTCCTTCTTCCCCTCTCCTCTCCTCCTTTCTCTTCTCTGCCTTTCCCCTGGCTTCTCTTTTTCTCTTTCTCCTCTCTCTCCTCTCTTTCCCTTTCCCTCTCCTCCCTTTTCTCGCTCTCTATCACTCTCTCGCTCTGTCTCTATCTTTCCCTCCCCCCCCAACCCCAGCCCCAACAGGAGCCCTTTGTGTTGTCCCGAAGCTCTGCGGGTGGCAGCCGGAATCTACTCCTCCCCACCCCCCAACACACGCCCAGCTTGGCAGGTCTAGCTGAGGCTCAGCAACTCTCCCGTCCCAGCACCCCAACATCCCCAGTCACAGCCCAGCCATCAGCTTCTGCCGGGTCCCCAACCCACCACTGGACTCAGGGCAGCTCCAGAGTGGGGCTGAGGCCACCAGTACTCTCCACCCACCCGGAGACTTTCCACTCCCAGCTGGGCTGGCAGCCTGGGGTGGGGTGGGGGTGGGGGGGTAGAGGTCGAGAATGGGGACAAGGGGATTACGGTGGGTAGAAAGGGTGCAGCTGAGTCGGTCACAGGCTAGAGGCCCAGTGGGAACGTGATAAGGATTGAGGCCCCGCCTGCTCTTAGGCCCAACTCAGCTGCCCCCAGCTCCATGAGGCCCTCATTGTTACCCTTCCGTCCTTGACCATCCCTTATTCTCTGACCTTCCCTCCTCCCACTTTCAGACTGCCTTAGGTTTTTCCATCTTTTCCTCTGGAGCCTTCCCTCCCACTCCTCCTCCTCCATGCTTCCTGGGCAGGCCTGTGAGAAGAAGACGATTATTCTGCCACCCCCAACGCTGTGCACTGTACCTTGGCTGTCCCCATCACTCTGGCCAGGACAGCCCCCACGGTCTGCAATGTGCATTGTTTCCACACCCCAAGTCAAAGTGGGAACTGTGGGTTCAAGGAGGGGCATATAATATAGAGGCTGGGAGAAGCAGAATTGATGCAGAGGTCCCCACTCAGCCCACATCTGCTAATGTCCCCATATTCCCTATTCCTCAGATGTATGGCCGGTATACTCAGGACCTTGGGGCCTTTGCCAAAGAGGAAGCTGCTCGGATTCGCCTGGGAGGGCCCGAGACCTGGAGGGGTCCACCTTCCCCTCGGGCTCCCCCAGAGCTCCTGGAATATGGACAGAGCCGTTGCGCCCGATGCCACAGTAAGACGCGGGTTGGGGCAGGAGAGCTGGCTGTGCTGTGCTGTGCTAAGGGGGGAGAGAGGCCATTAGAGCTACCCATTGGGAGGTTGAGGGTTGGGTGGCAGAGGTTGGAACACTTTGGTGCTAGCCTCTCCCCCATTCTTCATTTCCCTGTTTCCAGTCTGTTCCGTACACTGTCATAAGTTCCTAGTGTCCAGGGTTGGTGAAGACTGGATCTTCCTGGTCCTGCTGGGGCTCCTCATGGCTCTGGTCAGCTGGGCCATGGACTATGCCATCGCTGCCTGTCTGCAGGGTAAGGATAAGGGCTGGCAAGGGGAAGGCTGGGAAGAACCAACCTGCTTCCTCCATGCCACACTGGTCCAAGCATCTTGGCTACTTGGCTACTGATCCCTTTCCCCAGCCAGTCTGACTGCCACTCCCATAGGCCACAACCTCTCACCTCCCCTCTCCAACTGACCCTGTTCCCTATTGTGATCTTGGTCCGAGTGAATGCCCTGTGGGACTTCTCCCTACCCCTCATGCCCAGGCTCTCTGCAATGGATCGATTCTCCCTGGGACAGCTTGTCATATCAGTGTGTCCCAGTGGCTAGGCGGGGACTGGGTGTGTGCATCTAAGGTCCAGCAGCTCATCTTCTCCCCACAGCTCAACAGTGGATGTCCCAAGGCTTGAACACCAGCCTGTTGCTCCAGTACCTGGCCTGGGTCACCTACCCCATCGTCCTCATCACTTTCTCAGCCGGATTCACACAGATCCTGGCTCCTCAGGCTGTCGGTACAATAAGAAAGAAGGGGAGGGCAGTGATGGGATCTTCTGAAATGAGCACATCAAATGACTCTCCTGGGATCATAACCCCTCCAGGGTCTGGCATCCCAGAGATGAAGACCATCTTGCGGGGAGTGGTGCTGAAGGAATACCTCACCCTGAAGACCTTTGTAGCTAAGGTCATTGGGCTGACCTGTGCCCTGGGCAGCGGGATGCCCCTTGGCAAAGAGGTAACTCCAGCTTGGGGACCGAAGGAGTCCGTCCCAGTGGAGGAAGAAGACCTTGGCACGCCAAGGTCAAGGTGTGCCCCTTCCCCACTCACCACTTGCCCCCACACTCCCAGGGCCCTTTTGTGCATATCGCCAGCATGTGTGCTGCCCTGCTCAGCAAGTTCCTTTCCCTCTTTGGGGGCATCTATGAGGTAAGGGAGACCCTGGAGGAAAGCAGAGGGGGAGGGGGAGGCTGCTGAGGCCATGCTGACACCCATTTCCACCACTCTTGCCAGAATGAATCCCGGAACACAGAGATGCTGGCTGCTGCCTGTGCCGTGGGAGTAGGCTGCTGCTTTGCGGCACCTATTGGAGGTAGGTGGTCAGTCCACCCCTCAGCCCTGTCCTTGGCCTCACCTCCTTTGCCCCTCTCTTCCAGGTCTGAGTCCTTAGGCCAGTCCCAAGCCTCAGGTGGCACTCTGCCTTGCCCCCTCACAGGTGTCCTATTCAGCATTGAGGTCACCTCCACCTTCTTCGCTGTGCGGAACTACTGGCGAGGTTTCTTTGCTGCCACCTTCAGTGCCTTCATCTTCCGGGTCTTGGCGGTCTGGAACCGTGATGAAGGTGGGGGCGACCTGGGGGATGAGGAGGGCCCCTGAGATGGCTCAAGAGAGGGCCCTCGACACTACACCTGCCTCCCTCTGCTACTCTGCTTTCCTTTCAGAGACCATTACAGCTCTCTTCAAAACCCGATTCCGGCTTGACTTCCCCTTTGATCTCCAGGAGCTGCCAGCCTTTGCTGTCATTGGGTGAGAGGGGCTCAGGGAGCTGGGGTGCATCGGAGAGGAGGAGGTAGAAGAGGGAAGACCCCCTTTTACCCTGGTACTTCTTCCCTCTCTAGTATTGCTAGTGGTTTCGGGGGAGCACTCTTTGTCTACCTGAACCGAAAGATTGTCCAGGTGATGCGGAAGCAGAAAACCATCAACCGTTTCCTCATGAAGAAGTGAGTGGACCTGGGCTCCTCCTCTCTGGTTGTGCGACAGTCACAGTGGGATGAG